ACACAAAAAAAAAAAAAAAAAAAAAAAAGGTTTATTCAGCTGCTGATTTGGAGGCCAAGGTCCTGGGCCATGTTTGGTGGGTTTTCTTGGTGTGTGTGTGGGGGGGGGCGGGGGTTGGTCCCAAGGCCATCAGGATGAAATGCCATGAGTGTAGGAGTGCATGTCTGTGTTCAGTGTGCCTGGGTCATGTGATGAACACACCAAGTCAGTCACAGGGGCCCCAGCCTGGTCACTCCCAAAGGCCCTCCCTTTCCACACCATGGAGGTGAGAAGCATCCCTTTACTATGGCACCGTGCTGCCGAGGTCTAACAAGTAAATTGGGGCCGGGAGGCACTGGAACCACGGCACTTGGAGTATCACAGTGCCTTTATAGTTTTGTGTACAGTATGCAGTAGAGAGTTGAGCTGTTCTGTAGAGGAAGACAGCAAAGCGGAGGGGTGATCATTTCAAATCGGCCGGTCAAAGGAGGTGGAAGCGAGAAGGTGCAGTTGAGCAAAGACCTGAACAAGGCGACAGCGGGCACCCGGACATCATCCGGGGAGAGAATTGCAGGCTGGGGAAGGGACAGCGCACAGCCCTGGGGCCAGTGGGGCCGGGGCAGAGACGTCGGCAGCAGTGGTGACACTGTCCCATGGGCCTCCAGCCCCAGTGTGAGTGGGCGTGCGCCCGGCCCTGCTTCTGGTGTGTAGGTCTGATAGGGTCTGAGGTGGACATTGCTATCAAGTTCCCAGGCGATGGTGTGCCTGCCCAGAAACACGCTTTGTAGGCCCTTGGGAAAAAAAGGCCCTTGTCTTTTGCTTTTGAGATTGGGGGATTTAAGAGAGATGGGATTTAAGATTCAACAAGATCCCTCTGGCAGCCACGTGGGGCCAGGGCAGATGCAGGGTGACTAGTGAGAAGCCAGTGTGTGCTGGCACAGGCCGGTCGTCATCCGTCATGATCGGTGAGCCAGGAGGAGGCCTGAGAGGGCTTGGGGTGTGAGGACCGGAGAGGGAGGGGGGGGCGTGACTGTGCGTCCTGTGGGAGGGGCTGTGCCTGCCAGGCCGGGCTCTGGACATTCCCGGTTCTAAAGGACGTGCTGGCCAGCCCTGGGAAGTGCGGTCTACAGCCTCGCTTTCCAGATGGGGAAGTGAGAGCTCAGCTGGTCAGAAAAGATAACCTAAGAGATTTTTGGAGATGGACTGGACCCGGGGGGTGTCAGAGAGAGGGAAGGGAAGGGAGGCCATGAGGACAACTGGGTCTTGCCTGATTATACCACCAGAAAGAGGGATGGGCTGTCTCTCTTTTTTTATTTTTCCCACTGATTTTTTTTCCTTTTCCTTTCTTCCTTTTTATTTATTTATTTTTAAAATTTTAATTGTCAGAGAACACAGGCATTCACCAGAGAGAGAGACAACACCCCATGGAGTGGGATCATACTGCAATCCTTTTTCCTCCATTTCTCCGTCACTGGGATTTAGAGCCTGCACATGCATGCCCAGCATATATTTCAAGGTGCCAGGGCCAGGATTCAAACCACAGGGCTTCACCTTTGTTCTGTGGGGCTTTCCCTGAAGATCTTTCTTTCATCATTCTCTTTTTTATTTTAAAACCAGCACATATTAATTGTCCCTATCTTGGGGCACGGCTGATTTTCCGGTACATGGATACCTGTGTAGGGACTAGGTCAGGCAGTCATGTGTCCTTCATCAGCCAGTGGCCTTCCTCCATGCTGGAAATACTGAAATCTCCCTTTAGCTACTCTGAGACCAGTAGTACGCAGTTAACCGCATCCTCTGCATCCTCCGACTGTGCTTGATAAGGCTAGGCATTGTTCTTACCTGAAATCGTCCCTATTGGTCCACACCTCCCTATCCTTCTATCCTTCCCGGCCTCTCTCCCCACTGGGAAAAGTTACAAAACCTTACAGTTTGGAGGCCATTATGATGGTCAAAATCCAAACACCTACGGGACAGAGCATGTACAACAAAGGCACAGAAGCGAATCGAAGCTGGGACTGTGAGGAGTTGTGGCGCCTGGGCAGCTCAGAGGGCACGCGAGAAGCGCTGGCCAACTTCAGTCTGTAGATATGCTGGAGATACCAGCCAGAGGGGCCATCTCAGCCTTCCGGGTCTTCCTTTCTTTCTCTTTCTCTCTTCTTTTTTATTTTTTTAAAAGAGATGCTGAACATTTTCTGTGACTTTCTTAAGTTTTCTATATTGGCAACTGGTCCACATTATTTAAACCCTTTCCAGGTTGGCAGGTGGCATGGTGGTTAAGGCGCTGGACTCCCACATGGCCAACCACGGTTCCAGTGTTAGACCTGGTGGCTTGCTTTCTCACTTTCCTTTTCTCTGTCTATCTGTCTCTGGCCAACTTAAAAAAATAGTAAGTGGGATCAGCAGTTAGCGTAATGGCTATGTCGCTGGACTCCCACATAGTCGACTGCGGTTTGAGTCCCGGACCCGGCGACTTAAACTCATGCCAGGTGTGTGTGCATGCGTGCCCAAGATCCCAAGAGGAGAATGGAGGAGAAGGTTTTGCGGCATGGCCATCCCCCCTGGGGGGGTGATTTCTCACTTTCTGTCTCCCTGTGTCTCTCTCTGTCTTTCTGGCAAGCACATGCACCCTATAGCAAAAACCTCTCGAAAAAATAATAAGTAAAATAAATAATTATTTAAAATATTTTTTTAACGCTGACCAGGCCAACTGTAACACATCCAAGGGCTGCCTCTGGGCTGCAGGCCACCAGCGCTGGGGTGCAGTTCCAGCTGGACGCTGGAATTCATTCTGCACATATTTCTGGAGCACTTTCCAAGACTCAGGGCCCTACTTAGAGCCTGAGGACTCAACCCCAAAGATACATTTATTTTCTCAGGCGACAGATTCAGTGACCGCCCTATATTTATACAGGTATGTGTGACTGCAAACCTGAGAGAGTGTGAACAAATGAGTGAGGCGGGGTGAAAAACGAAAACAGGAAGCTCGACTGGGTTCATCTGTGGTGATGGAGCACCCCTAAGGAGGTGGCATTTGAGGGATAGGACATGACGGATAAAGGTATGCCAAAAACAAATGAATAAACGAATCCAGCACATGCAAAGGCCCTGCAGTGCTGGCGTGGTGGTTCTTTTCATGTCAAGAAACATGAAAGGGCAGGGGGGATGGCCCAGAGAAGAGGGACCAGGCTGAACCAAGCTGGGCCTAGCAGGCCTTCGTGGGGAATTTGATCTCTACCCCCCCAGAAGGTAAGTGTGATGGGGGGAGACTCTGTCCTAGAGAGACTCAGCATGGGGCCTGCCCAGCCTTCTGGAAAGACAGGGAGGAGGTGACTGGGAGGAGGTGAGAGAGCCAGCAGGGGTGGAGCCCCTGTGAAGCTGGGTCAGCCCTGGAGGAGGAGCCTCTGCTCCACTCCAGGCTCTGCACTCCAGGTTCCTATGAGGTCGCCTTCCGTGATGCTGCAGAGAAAATGAAGGAGGTCATTGCACGGCTCAAAGGAGGTAAAAGAGACCCACCACCTCTCCCCACACGCCGCTGGGAATCCCACTCCTGAGACCCATCCCTCCCTCCATCCACTGTCCTGAACTCTGAGCCGCAGCCCTTTGGGGCGTCTCTGGACACTGCCTCTTGCCTGCCTGGGTCAAGCTGCCTGCACCTTCTACAGAAGGGTTCCTGCCCAGTTAGGGCTGCTCCAAGGATGGTCCTGACCCTACTCATTTCTGTGTCTGGTCCTGTGCGCTCTGAACGCGTTCCTGGCCAACTGGGCCATCCCAGGGGACTGCTAGCCTGGCCACACCTGCGTGACTGATGAGGTCCCTTCCCGAGCCCCAAGGACAGCCTAGGCCCTGTGGCCTCCAAGAGCATGCTGCAGGTGTGTGCCAGCCCAGCTATGACTGGCGAGCAGCAGGCGGGTGTCTGACCACCTCCGGGAGACTACCCCTCGGAGGAATGGGGCTAGGTAGCACCTGTAGGGGAGCTGGGGTTGGGGGTGGGTCTCGCCCTCTACCTCCAGGCCAGTAACGCTTCCCCTCTCTCCGCAGTCCAGGCCTGCATCCCTCCCTGCGGTAAGGACTTCAGCCAAAACTAGGTATTACCTGGAAGGGAGGTGGTCTTGGCCGGAACCTGGGACTTCAAGTGTGGGTGGGCGTCGGCCCAAGGAAGCCAGTGAGCCGGGAGAAAAGTAAACCAAGAATTGCTCAAACCCTCCTAGCTTTGTGGGTCCAAGAGCCGAACAAGCCAATCGCAGTTCTAGAGGGTGGGAGCGGTGAGCCGCGGGCGCAGAGAAGGGGTGCTGCGTCTACCTGGCCTTAAGAGACCTCAGGGGCCGAGGGGGCGGGGCGGGGGCAGAAGGACCCCAGACTCAGCGTAGCGTCCCACAGGACTCCAGGAGGTCGCGCGGCGCTTCCACTGCCGCGGCTGCTTCTCCACGGTCTGCGACCTCCCGCTGGACTGCCCAGGTGAGGGGAGGGCCTGCAAGGGCGAGGGCCCTGACCTGCGGCCAGGCCTGGGATGTGACCTGGAGCCCGCACCCCCAGTGCAGGATGTGACGGTAACTCGGGGCGATCAGGCCCTGTTTTCCTGCGCCGTGAACTTCCCGCTGCCAGAGGAGATCACCTACTCCTGGAAGTTCGCAGGTGCTGTGAGTGGGGCGGGGCGGGCGTGAGGGTCGACGGCAGTGTGCGCAGGGCGGGACTTCGGACAGCCGGGTCTTCATGCAGAGAGGGGAGCGTCCCAGCATTTGGGGCGGGGGGCAAGACTCAGCCTAAGCGGCGGCTGGGGTGACCACGGTTTGGGCAGTACGTGGAAAGGGCGGGCTTCAGGCGAGGAGGCTCAGGAGGCGGGGCTATGCGTGAAGGGCCCCGCTCCTCCCGCCGCTTCAGCCCGTGCGTCTCGCAGCTCCGGACACAGGATACGTCCTACTTCCGAAATGTGCCGCGGGCCCACGGATACGTGGCGCGGATCCGGCCGGTGCAGCCCAGGCACCGCGGGACCTTCTCATGCGTGATCAAGCACGACCAGCGCCTCCTAGCGCGCCTCTACTTCTTTCTTAACGGTGCGGGCGGCGCCAGGGACCGGGTGACGCGAGGGACCGGGCTGCGCAGGGCCGAGCTCGTGCCCGGCTGACGCGCGCGCCCCCGCAGTGACGGGCCCGCCCCCGCGCGGGGAGACCGAGCTCCAGATCGCGTTCCGAGAGGTGCTGCGCTGGGCGCCACGGGACGCGGAGCTGATCGAGCCCTGGGAGCCGAGCCTGGGCGCGCTGCTGGCCAGGCCCGACGCCTTGACCCGGGGCCTGATCGCGGCGGCTGCGGCCGTTGCGTCCGCAACTGCGACCTTGCTAGTGTGGTGAGCCCCGGGACCCCAGGTGAATCCCAGCATCCAACTGTCCCTCAGCCCCGGGGGTCCAAGCTCCCAGCCCCTCCTCTCTCAGGCCCGGGGGTCCAGGCCTCCCAGCCTCCGTCGCACGTGAGTCGGCCCTGTCTACCTCTGCGACCCAGTCGTCCAGGCCTCCAGGACCTAGGTTTGCGGTCCCCACCCTCTCCAACACACTCCTTCTTTCCCCAGGATGTTCTTCCGATGGTACGTCAGCGGCAACTAACAAAAGTATCTTTCTTTCTCCTTTATCCTGTTTCCAACCCTAAAATAAAGAATACCTTTCAGCCCTGGGTCCCGTCTGTGGAGGTGGTCACTGCTAACTGGTAGGATCTGGGGACCTAGGTACAGTCCCAGACCCTGCCCCAGATTTCTGGCGTTCTCTCTCATTTTCCTTCCATGAGACACAGGGTCTTGCCAACTGCTATCCTCCCAGCCAACCAGCGTCCCAGGCCCATGTGGGGGCCTGCCCTGAGTGTTCACGTCCACCCAGACCCAAAATCAGGCCTTCCATTGGCTCTGGTATACCACACTGGCACCCTACAACCTGCACCGCCACGGCTGGGCTGCTGGTAGTCTTTGGTGTCACCTGCAGAAGACACTCACAGCACTTGATATGGGCCTAAAAGCTGTTGTTCCTCCCTGAAGCTTCCTATCAAAAATAGCACACTATGGGGACCAGCAGTTAGCGTAATGGCTATGTCACTGGACTCCCACGTAGTCGACCGTGGTTCGCGTCCCGGACCCCGTGGCTTAAACTCACACCGGGCACGTGTGCATGTGTGTGCCCAAGATCCCGAGAGGAGAAAGGAGAAGGGATTGCGGCGTGGCCATCCCCACTGGGGGGTGATTTCTCGCCTTCTGTCTCTCTTTCTCTCTCTGTCTGTCTGGCGAGTACACACACCCTATAGCAAAATAAAATAAACTAAAATAAAACTCTCCCCCCCCCAAAAAAAAAAAAAAAAGAAAGAAAGAGCACACTATCCACCCAGCAGCTCAAACTGGAAACCTCCGAGCTTTTCCAGGTCTCAGCCTTTCTAACTCCCTAAGTATCTCACAAAGCTGCCCTCTGCGATCCCCGCCTCCGCCGTCTCTGGTCCGTATCACTGCAGCCACCCTGGCCTCCTGCCTCTGCTTGGCCTTGCCCCGCTGCCGTCTGCAGTTCATTTTCCACAGAAGAGCTGGAGTCCTATCCTGAGTATGTCAAGTTACTCCTCTGCTCAGCATCCTTCGGTGGCTCCCTATTGCCACTGGAACCAAACCCCATTTTATCAAAGCCTTCCAGGCTTCAGAAGTTCCGGCCCTTCTGATCTCACTGGCCCTGCTGCCTACACACAATCTTTCTACTTCACAATTTCTCTAGTGGTTTCTCCTTGTATTCGTGATTTTTCTCACCCTTTCCAGGATTTTTTTTCCTTTTTGAGAGATTTTTGCTTTAGGGTACATGCGCTCATCAGAGAGACAGAGAGCAAGAAATCGGGGGGAAGGCCACACCACAATCCCTTCTCCTCCATTCTCCTCTTGGGATTTGGGGCACACATGCACACGCACCTGGCATGAATTTAAAGCCGCCAGGTCTGGAACCATAATCGACTATCTGGGGGGTCCAGCAACACACCCATTACGCCATCTGCTGGTCCCTCTCCAAGATTTTGGTATCTGTTCTTTC